CTGTTGTATCATATTGGTGTGCATAAATGGTAGGTTTTGGTGAAATTGTTTTTTTAAAGTATTTTTTTAACTAATACATTACTCTAATTCATTGTTATTGTTTTTTTTCCTGTATGTGTTCTTAGGTCATTATGATTTTAATGTTCCAGAGCTAACATGCAAACATTGCACTAAGAAATGGGGTCCCTTGGGTAATTTCCTCTCCTGTTATGGGAGAAGTACCACAATAAAAATAAGAAGTGGACGGCCCAGCTCCAGTGCCCCTTCGAGCTGCCACTGGTAGCCCATGCGGTCCTGTAAAAAATGGTTTGTATATAAACGTATAATAACCCATGTAAAACACATGTATATAACCCATGTAAACACATGTACGTATCAGTCTCGGTACCTCCCCACCACCATCAGCTCCCTCTCTGTGGCTGCCGGTCTGGCCCGGTGGTACAGGTCCAGAGTGAACAGGGTGGAGCTGCTGTTAAAGATGGAGGTCAGGGAGGACATGAGAGCGGCTAGCATCACGGCCAGCATCAGCCCCCGCAGACCTGAGAGAGACAAAGGGGGAGGTCCGGCACTTAGCTTATTATATTTAAACTGCTTTAATTATTATATTTCAGTTTATTTGATCAACCCATGTTTCTAGTTATTATTATTATTTTATTTATGTTTTTTGCATTATGAATATGTCTTTATACTACAGCAGCAGCCAGGTACAAACATGGAGAAATATGTGTGTGTGTGTGTGTGTGTGTGTGTGTGTGTGTGTGTGTGTGTGTGTGTGTGTGTGTGTGTGTGTGTGTGTGTGTGTGTGTGCCCACAGGCATTAGCTCCACCACTAATTTAGGGTAGGCGATGTTGGAGCAGCCGACTGCAGCGCCACACACACTCTGACACACTGCTGGATCCACACAAGCTACCTCGTCTACACGCACACACACACACACACACACACACACACACACACACACACACACACACACACACACACACACACACACACACACACACACACACACACACACAGATTATCAGATGTACTGGTTGATTGGTTGGTTGGTTGGTTGGTTGGTTGGTTGGTTGGTTGGTTGGTTGGTTGGTTGGTTTGTTGGGTAGTTAGTGGCAGCTGAATTGACTGACCTGGGAACAGTGATCGGCTGATCATGCCTGGCATGACGATGAAGAACATGGGCAGCAGCTTGAGGTACCCCCCCACCACACTGGCGCCTTTGGCATGAGACAAAGACTTCGCTGACAGAGACCTCTGGACTATAACCTACACACACACACAAACACACATACACATACACATTAATCCTGTTTTATATGTGTCAAGGTTTGATGACACTTCAGGAAAGAGAGGGGGAAAGGATGCACTTTTCCCTGGGGCAGGCATATATATTTATATACTTAAAATATATATATATATATATATATAATGTAATAATAAATGTATTACTCCCACAAGGAGTCTGCTTTGTTGTATGGTGGTGCAAACATCAACAATCTAAGAGAATAAGTTGTGTAAAAGAACATGCTATCCTATACTATATATCTAATACTTGCTATCCACAAATGTTCTGTATGGACCAAAGAGAGAGTGGGGGGGGCGGCACAGTGTTGTGGTGGCATGCCGTGGAAATGCATTGTGGGGGAAGTCACCTGGTCCGTGCACCAGACCCAGGTAGCCAGAACAGTGAGTCCGAACAGCAGGCCAGGCCAGGGGATGTCCCCCGACACGGGGTCTCTGAACAGGCTGAAGGCGTCGCTGCGAGGCAGGTGGCAGGTGGTGTTAGCAACCGTCACCGAGGGCACCGCCGACATGTAACCCTCCACAAGACCCTCGTACCAGCCAATCTCTGCAAAGGCTGGAAGACGCACACACACACACAAACTTTACATCACAATATTAACAGAGTTAGCCCCAGGTCAGTGTGCGACCAGTGTCCCACCTACCTATGAACATGAGTGCAAAGGACCCCCCAACCATGATCACAGTCTGGAGTGCATCAGTGTAGATCACTGCTGCCAGGCCACCTACACACACACACACACACACACACACACAAACACACAAACACACAAACACACAAACGCACACACACAAACACACAAACACAATGGGGTATTTACTGAGGTAAGAACACTGGACTCTCCTCTTGTTAACACAGATCTTAGTCCAGGTATCTAAGCTGTTCAAAAGAACGTTGACTTAGTGACGAGGGGGCCAGTAGTGCCGACTCCTCTCAGGGTTTCAGGACTCTTTATGCAACACCTTGTGTGTGTGTGTGTGTGTGTGTGTGTGTGTGTGTGTGTGTGTGTGTGTGTGTGTGTGGTGTGTG